TGTACGATTTCAACTTTATCAGAAACCTGTACCTCTGACACTATCAAATACGACCCTTGAAGATCCGGGGTGGAGTAGGTCTTTGGCAACCCATGCTTGTCGTAAGAGGCGACTAACGGGCTCGGGTGGTCAGGTTCGCTTATTTGGTTGATGCATGTCATCGTATCCTAATTGCATGGATCGATGCTCATGATATCAATCACTGAATTATCTGGTCCTGACACGATTATTTACAGACCGCCGTTATATATACTGAACCGCAAAAGAAACGTCACCACAAGTAACATTGCATGAAAAGTTGCCATTTAAATATGACAATAAAACCGATCACCCAAACGCATCACAGCAACGGCCATGGTAACCCTTGCACGTGAGTTCAAATGAAAATTGAAATTCATATGCGTTTCCCCATTTCTTGCCCTATAAAAACCATCCAGATCGGATAACATTCATTCGTTATAGAATTGCTACCACATGCCATAATTGACAAGAAATCAGCGACACCCATCTTCCCGAGGCAAGGTACCAGACCACTATCACTACAGATGACCGACCACGTAGTCGAAGACCAAGGGTCACCACCCGACAGAGAGAGAGAGAGAGTCTGGAGACGCCGTGGGGAACGTTATTCGGATGCTTATGTTGTTGAGAAGGAGTTGTGGGGTGGTCCGGGCATCATGGTGTGGGATGGAATTGGTCTTGCACAGAGGGTTGGCCCTGTGGTCTGAACATCGGTCCAGGGAGAGGCAATGGTGTCACAGCAGCTCGGTACATTGATAAAGTCTTGAGACCACACGCCATACCTCATTTGGCACGTCGCCGCAACCACGAGTTTCGGCATGATAACGCCCGTGACCACTACTGCGAGAGCAACAGGAGACTTCCTCCAGCAGAATGGCATCAGAAACGTGTAGTGGCCTGCCCTCAGTCCCGATTTAAATCCAATTGAGCACCTGTGGGACGAGATTCAAAGGCTGAATGACGTCCGACCAATGCCGACAACTGCAGCTGAACTGCGTCAGGCGTTCCTCAGAGTGTGGGCTCAAATGCCTATGGCCTTCATCAACCGCCTCATCCATTCCATGTATCGACGTTGCACGGCAGTCATCCATGCACATGGCGGACACACGAGATACAGACTTGTGATGCCATTTTCTCATAGACTCGTGCTTTGTATCACTTTTAGAACATTTGACACTTTAATTTCAACCTTAATGATCAGTTTTGCCAAGTTTCATCTTTTTAATATGTCTCAAAGTATGTTTACAGTGTTTGCACAAATAAGGTTTCTCATACATCTATCCATGGTGACGTTTCCTTTGGGGTTCAGTATAGATGGAATATTGGAGTGTGGCTTTAAACAACAAACAAACAAACACTATCAAATACTGATGACATCAGTCACAAAAATAGGAAAGTCAACTTGAAAAAACAACAACCACAGGAACATGTCAAAATAGGGATCTGCACTCCCTGTGAGGTGCTAGAAGGTTAACCATCTCATCGTACCGGGTACCCATTTACTGCTGGGTAAACAGAGGCACGTTTTGAACAAACCATCTTGCCTAAGGCGACACCACATGTGCTTCAGTGTGGGGCAGCTATGTCACGGTCCTGCTTTTCCATTATTTCACAGTAACTCGTTCATCTCATACCAATGGCAGACTTTAATGAAAAGATCCCTTCTTGAAATGTTTAACAGCTCCAATCACTAAATGACGACTGTTCGCCCTGTAAACGAATCATAACTGCTTGGGAAATGTTGCGGTCTCCATTGAGCACACCAGTAAATTTTCGTCAAGGAAACTGCTCCGTGTATCTCTCCAAGTGTCCAAGCAACACGTGGGAACGATTTCCCACGCTCTGCTATGCCCACAGTTTTTTTTTCAGGAAGATAACGTTTTGCCGGACATCTGCTTGTTCCATGTTCAAATTCCCCGACACACCATCACGATCCATGCCTACACACATTTAGCGAGGCAAATGTGATGTTCAGAAATACATATGTGACACTGTCCAACAAGCGTGTGACGTTGATAGCACTCTTGTACTCTTGTACAGTTTTCGAGTATTTCTAAAAAAGGACAAGCACAGATTACAGCACTTTCTGGCCCAATGGGAATGACAAATCGAAACGTAATCTCTTCGGATAACATACATAACGGTTTCTCATTAATATCAAGTTGACAAAATGGGTCCTTATCATGTCTTGAATTGCCCTTTGATGATTGGGTCTGGTTAAAATATTACATTTTGATATGCTGGTTTGATAACATTTTACGAATTTGATTGTTTCTTTTAAAGACACACCAGTGGTTGGCTAGCATGTAGCGATTAAAACCAGGGGCCACGGGTGACCCAGTCGTATAAGGAACTGCAATTCGCTGTGTAGAGTTACGTCCCTTCGACATGCCAGGATTCTAATCTAATATCGTAGGTTCCATGCTGAAAGATTGCTGATGCGGCGTTAAGCAATAAACACACACTATAGCTAGCTCACTCGAATTCCAGATTCGCCTGTTAAAAGGTTTGGTTTATCAGTACCAAATCCGTGCTTTCACAAAGGTTGTATACATTTTCATCTGAGACCTGTTTTGATTTGGTATGACCTCACATATTGCGTTGCGACGCTATCATACAACTGAAAAACTCTTCAAGGGGCACAATGCTCAATTTACGTACTCCCTCTCACTATAAATCCTATTAAGTCAGTTCTTCCTATAAACATTTTGCCCCTCAACCACTCGATGAAAAGATACCATTAGATTTAGAATATCAATTACATTTACAGTCTCAAAAATGTGAATACAAACCGCAAATCTGAGACAACACGATTAAAACGTTTACAAATTTTGTCAACTTCAAGAACGGGTCACAGAAGTCGTTGTATTTTCACAGGTCAGCCTGCCTTAGTTTGGAGGGGGTGATAAGATACGCCAGCGGGGCCCTTGTTATAATACACTCCTTAGAGTTTCAAACATCCTCGGTTACGCAACCTGCTTCATGGCTGCCTCCTGTCGCTGGTGCACGTATAAAGTTTCGTTCAATCGATGTGGAAGCTTTTTCACAGTACGCAGCTTATCATTTGATGAAACAGCTGTGACAAGAGACTTAGCATCAGACAGCCACGTTCGCCATGACAGAAAAAGCTCCAATATACGGAATACTGCCGTACAATAAAACGTTTCGGCGTCAAATAATTTAGTTTAGAAATATTTCAGTTATTGATATCATGAGCATCGATCTACGCAACTGGCAAACAATGACGTGCATCAACCAAGACAGCAAGCCTGACCATCCGATCCCGTTGGTCGCCTTTTACGACAAGCATCTTAAGCTGGATCACGTCTTCATTTTCCATATCAACTAGGAAAAATGCCTATCAAACAATTCAACTAGGAACCGATATGTGATCAACAATAGATTTAGCGTGTGTTGGGGTGTGGTTTGGGATGTTAGAACTATTCACAGCTACCAACACCTTATGATACAAAAGCCTCAGGACATCAAATACCAAGTGCTTCGCATGCAAGTTATCGACAGATAAGGATGTCGTTTTGCTAAAGATTTAGCATGTGCGCTCGAACTACAGGTTTTATGAAGAGCGTAGCACGGGCATAGGATAAAAGTATGATGTGGTTTGGCATGTGAGTTACAGCATGTGAGGTTTGTTCTTTAATCCTGCATTTAGCACTATTCAATCTACATGACGGCGGCCTGTAAATAATCGAGTGGACCAGACAAACCAGTGATTAATATTGTGAGTAACGAAAAACGCCGTCGGGGTACGATCACAGTCTTAACCAACTGACCGAGCCGGTAAATCTAGTCAGTTACTTCTTACAAGCAGCATAGTTAGCTAGGAACCAAGTTTAATGCACAAGCATGTTTATTTGGACGGCTTAGCTTGTGAATTAGCAACGGTTTGGCATGACAGTTAGCAAGGGTGTATAATGCGATTTGAGGTGAGGTGAAATTTTGTTTAACGTCACGTCCCAAGATTATTGCATTTATAAAGCGACGTGCATACATGCGCGCGCGCGTGCGTGCGTGCGTGCGTGCGTGCGTGCGTGCGTGTGGCTGCTTGTACTGATGCCGATTTATAGTGCTAACTCACTGAGATACCATGCCGCAGTTTAACATGAATACACCACTCAGAGTATACTGACTCCGATCCGACCAGTCCTCTCTCTCTCTCTCTCTCTCTCTCTCACACACACACACACACACACACACACACACACACACACACACATACATACATACATACATACATACATGGAGCGCGGCTTGAAAACAGTGCGCGTTAAGAAAAGGCAGGGTTGTACTAATTCACCCTCCCGGTTAGGGCAAAACGTTATCTACATTGCACCCGTATAATGCTGTGATAGACTGGGAGGTACATGTACATGTACTTCCGGCTTCAAATGTACTGTGAGATAAAAGACAGCCTATACAAGTGTATTTTAGGCAAGCCGGGTGGAGCTATTCCAGGCTACCCACTGACTTGCTTATCTAAAGTGTGTTTGTGTTCGAGGAGCAGAAAATAGGCTTCCCCTTGACTCCTAGTGGTTAAAGCGATCGCGCGTCACCCCGATTCGAAATATTCTATTCCCCACATGGGTACAATGTGTGAAGCCTTGTCTTGCTGTACCCGTGACAAGGCTGAGCTATTGTTAAAGGCGTATAGCCCCTCACTTCCTGACGCACTCCTTCTGTGACACGAAGCTACAATAGTTGTCCTCTCAGTCAAATACTGCCGGAACATGATAATTCCCCTACGCTGAGTAGATGACAGATCATAAACAGTGAACAGTCTATCATGTTATATTTTCCACACTGTCGCAATAAATCGATGGAGGGTTTTGTTGGGCAATCGAGCAATGACATCAGAAATAATCGATACCTCTGTTAAGCAACTCACCTAGGTTGTGAATTAGCCAAATCAGATATGTCATGTATCAACTAGTGGCTGTACACGCCAGGACTTAAGCTGTTGATTAGCGCAGGCAGGAGACGAAGTGGATCGACCAGCCCGTCCTTATATATTATCCAACATATACCAGTCAACTGACAAAGCCTTCATCGGTATTTCCATTTTACATATGAACTTTCGTTCGTCAAACCGTCTAAGGAACCCATATCGCCCAGGTTTCTCTGAAAAGGAAGTAAAACGGGGCTTGGTTACTTCTTCCTCTGAGGGAAGCAGAGTCCATTCTTTCCACAGGGCGCTGTACAACTCTTCCTTGCATTTAGTATTGATTGTTGGTCGTCCATTCACTAGGCGGGTGATAATGGGCAGTCCCTTTGCTGTACACAGTGAGCCCGCCGTGCCATGAGTGTAGGGAGGGGAAACTTACGCTAAACTACCAAACATGCTAAAGGCTTCCCAAATTCTTGGTGTCATGGGGAAGTTTTGTTTCTACCAAACAAGCAGCCTCCATGAAAGTCGCCCGATAGCGTGGTATTGATTCTGTCATGACTTAACGCTATTGTTGAAAGAACACAACAATCCGTACAACGCCGAACGACGACCGGAGGATCTATCCTAACCATGTTCCTCTCACCATCAACCATTCACTTTACCCATTGTGAGGTGGGACAGGGACTTCCTGATATTACGAAGGACACAGATATGGAAGAATTGTGTAGGAGACTGCTGAAGAATGGCGAATGTCCTAAGCTACAGGTTGCAGAGAAAGACGGACAGTACTTCACCCTCAACAACACTCGGCTGCAAGTGTTTCGGTGGCTGGAGAGTGCTGGCAGGTGTAAAAGGGTTAAAGTGGACCGGGTACCATTACGGGTGATCCCGGAGGGTATTCGGAAGCTGATGACGGTAGGGGGGATGAAGGACGGCTTGGATGAAGGTGAGTGGTTAAGGAAATTGGGGCTAGCACGTCAGCATTATCGGCTTAAGCTAGGTCAATATCCTTATTGTATGGCAATCTCGATATTAATATTTACCCTGACTTTGTCAATATGTGGCATCTGGTCTATTCCAGCTACAATCCCTGTATCTATTCGCTATAGTTAACGATAGCTCAGTAACCCTATATGCACATTTGCACTGAAACTACTGTGGTTTAAAGGCCAACCTTAAAGGCTTACTGCGAGAGCAGAGATTAGGTGCTTCGCAGCAAACACAGTAAGAGGTTGCCTGGTGTGTTGTGAGTTTTCTTGGTGTTATCAAGTCAAGAGTTAATACTTTTGATCTGAAATTGTGTCTAAACAATCCAAGACCTATGCTGTCCCTATTTCATCTTCCTGAATATGTATTAAGACATGTATTCGATGTACGGGAACCGCATGTGTTTTATTCCTTTGGGGCCATACTCCAAGCTAACTAGCAGCACGTCCCATAATTTTGGACCAGAACGTTTGGGGTAAGAAGGAGGCCTTCAAGGTTCAATCAAATAACACGTTATTGCCTCAAATGAATGTCTAATTCATTCATTTGCTATGTTAATCGTTTAACCGGTTGGCCAAATTTATTTACGGAGTAGGAAGGGACTATATGTGTAATTGAGAAATTCTTCGTATTGTTAGGACGCTATATTGATAGTATTAAGTTTTACAAAAATCTCAAATATATTTTCTAGATGCTGATGATATGAATAGGGTGCGTTGGTATAATATATTTCCAGATGGTTTCCGGATTTCCCCTACACAGAATTATTTTCACTGAGTTGCTATACAGCACAATGACTAATAAACACCTGTACTGTTGTAAATCATGAGAAGTGAAGGTAAACACTGTTCCCGGCATTGCTGGTCCTATATATGGAACACAAATGATGTGAAAGGTTACACTTGTTGAGTTCCAGTTATTTATGGCAGACAGACAGAGTATTAAAAAATATAAATTTAATAACTGTGCCTTGGGCCACGTTTGAAGACCAATCGTAACTGTGGCTTATCAATCTCCATTAGAACTATTCGGCTTTGGAGACCACACGCCGCAGGTAATCATTAAACGTGTTTCTGTGTTTCTTTCACGCGGTAGTGAGCAACATTCCAGATATATCACGACAGTCTCTAAAAATCGATTCTGACCCAGACAAACCAGTGGTTGATATTATGAGCATCGCCACACACTTCTTGTATCTGATCATCCGATCCAATTTCGTCTCATCTGACAAGTAATATAGTGCTGGTGCCCGTTCCATCTCGCTTCTCAACCACTTGATAACTGAACTGCACTCATCAATGTGTAAATCGACATGTCGACGTGTCCTTTTAACTTACGGTAAATATAAGTTCAGAACGATGTTTAATAGATTAAATGCAAGACTCCTTCTTTTATTTCATCCTTTCTTGCCTGACATCGAGGATTGCCTTTCCAGCATTACGTTCATATCTAACATCTCGACTTAAAGTGCAATGCCATTTTCGCATAAAAGTCCATAAACCAGACATCTCTTGGGTATCCCTGCCTCATATTGTTGTGACATTGCATTAACACTCCCTACAACTCTACACTGGATGCTTGTGTTCCCATATGTCCGTCGAGAGGTCTGGTTAATAGCATTCTGGTTGCAGTATTTTACTGCGTTTTAATCTCCCTCAGTTTTAAAGGTAACATGTCTCAATTCCGTGTGCTGGTTGAGCCATACAATATCTAGCCTTGAATCAACGTGAGGATCCTGTCATATAAAAGCGACTAAACCCTTTCTGTAATCACGTGTACGATTCCAGACTACTCTGACATATGTCATCAATCATGGGATCGATTAACAGTTATATACAAAGTTATATGTCTATTCTAAAATAGTGACCTTTCTTCCGATTCCTACTTGTTTTCCACATCGTTTCTAAATAAATATACATCTCTGAGATAACAGAAACATTGTGGCTAAGTTATAATAAAGCTAGTTTTGCTTTTAAAAATATTGTAGAAATAAAATTCGTTTTGCGAAAGGTACTATATCACGTTTTAGCTGTCATAAGGTATTCATCTATGCGTTTATCTATTGACAAACAATATCCTCAAGGTTGTAAGACAAGAGGGATGACGTCAACTTTCCAACTGAAAACTTTCATGTTATGTCGAGCAATATTCAAGCAACTCCAACCTATAGTGTTTACATTTCACAACTTTTGAAGTACAAACGTGAACGCTCTTTCTAAGAAAATGTCAAAGAACGTCATACGACTGTTGCGCAAAAGTTGTTTGATCAGGGTTACAACATTAAAGGCATTAGAAAAGCATTGAATAAAAGTTGTTTGGTTGAAATGTGTAGGACATTCTTAAATTTGACGCATCAGAGACAAACATGATGTCCCTTGCAATTCCCTATTTCCACTTGTACTAAGTATTCTGGTTGTTTTTGTCAGTAATTACCTGACTTGCCTTTTGCATGTGTTTTGTGTCGTTGTGCCACCGGTGGCGCAGGATAGCTCACCTTTTTGCGAACATCTGATATCATCAATATTTAATATTAATTCATAATCACATTTTTGAAATAATATAATCGGAATCTAGAATGGACGTTTAGACAGACTTCTTATGATTATGGAAAGGGATTTTCCACTTTTATTATATCAGAATACAACACTATCTTATTTGCATCTAATGATATGTACAGGAATGTGTTGTTCTCATTATAATTAAGCGTGCGCAAAATAGGCATTCACTAAAATCACTCTTAATAGTGTGTTGGTGTTTTAATGATTTTTCAAAAATATTAACATGAAGTATCAAATTCTTGTGTCCTGATAATACCGAGTGTGTGGGATATCTGCCTCATGATACACAATTTATTCTCTGAAAGGAGGACCCGAACAATTTTATTTTATATTCACAACACGATTGTTCTATCCAGCATGTGCATTAAAGAACCTTGAACACGATTAATCAGTCATTAAAATATCAAAACGATTACTAAACACATACAGCATATAACGGCGTTTTCAAAGTGTGCCCGTATATGCTATTTTTTAAAGATACCCCAATTTGATTTTAGCCCACAAAGACTTCAGTATCTCAGTATACCTATCAAAAATGAATAGTATATAATTACTTGTTTGTTGTAGTTTTCAGCGGCGTTGTGTGCGACAAACGTTTAATGTTCACAGATGCTCACGAAGAGTAATGCCATGACAATGCAAATAATGTAATTAGCCGATGGTTCCCTTGGGTCTACCAATCTAGAATATCCCGCGTCTGTACAATGTGCCCATCCTTGTCATTGTATAATGGACAGATATTATCTGACGTATGATATGCCCAATATCCCCCGCCGGGATAATCAACTAGAAGCGGCATGGCTTCCTTCGCTTTGTAGGTAATGGGAATGAGATTTGTCACATGACGCAATGCAGATCTAAGAGAACTGACAAGGCATGGCCTTGGGACCTGCGTACCCTACTGTGTTCGCTGCCAGTTAGCATCGGCATATGTGACATGACTCATAGGAATTTAGAAGCGAATGTTACAAGTGAAATGGTGGAAAGTAACTGGCGTCTGGCAATCTGTAGCGCTTCCATTAAAAGGAATCGCATCTGACATCAAAACCAGATGTAACCTTATAACGTCCATTCTCCTGTCAGAACAAGCCTTTTACCGCCCTTCTAGAATTCGGAAGTGTATATCTGAAGGACGTTAATGAATACGTTTATAGCATAACAAATGTAAGGTATTTTGCAACTTTACATTTGTTGATGGCACAATATCTGATAAATTCGACTGCAGGATGTGGTGATGCTTGTCCCATCCAAAAGAGATCCGTGAAGATCCGGGGTAGAATAGGTCTTCAGCAACCAATGCTTGCCGTAAAAGGCGACTATGCTTGTCGTAAGAGGCGACTAACGCGATCGGGTCGTCAGACTCGCTGACTCTGTTGATGCATGTCATCGATCCCAATTGCGTGGATCCCAATTGCGTGGATCGATGCTCATGATATTTATCACTGGATTGCCTGGTCCAGACTCGATTATCTACAGACCGCCGTCATATAGCTGGAATATTGCTGAGTGCGGCTTTAAACAACAAACAAACAAACCAGCCAATAGAGATGACTCGTATAAATGTTTGACGTTTCTCATTCACGACTTGCGATAAATAATGTACACAGGGAAACATTTTATTACTCGTTATTAAATTCAAGGGGGGCTGTAGGTGACGTTTTCATTGGTCGTTGCATCATATATTTCTGCTGACTTAGCTTCACACTGAAGGTATGAAGTCGCATATAGAATCATATGTCATGATTGTAATAACAGACGAGTGTGTCAGCTTCGAAATGTCCATAAATCCGTTTCTTTTGCATTAGGAATAATCCATAATTATATCGTTCTGTGCCTGCCGCAACAGGTTCTAACGGCGTCTCGGATGCAACATCTGGCGTTGAGTAACATACAGCTCGATGCAATTAAAAAACCCAACATATACACCTCGGTACGCTTTAATTCGACTTGAACTTGGAATTGAACTTGGATCATATGTTTAGCATCGTGTCTGTAATATAGAATATGGTAATTCAGTTAATTAAGTTTTAACCAAACACGATGTACAACGTGTTCTATACGCTCTAGAGGATATTTACATATCTACATATGTATACATTCGTTTAACAACCAGCTGTTGTCACAATCATGTAAATTGTGATACATGAAGACAAATGCTCTGCTCAAATTGACAATGGTCTGTCAAATTAATACATTCAATTCATTTACTGATCTATTTTAATATTTTTATGTTGTTTGTTTAATCCCAATATGGTTCCAAGCCGTTTTCGAATTGTGCGTAATAGCGGAATGAAAAAAACCCTAGTTCTATGTCTATTGTTGATTGTCAACCCCAATAACCCCAATAACCCCAATAATCCCAGTCACCCACCCACTCATACCAATACACCCACTCATACCA